CGAGAAGGGCGCGCGGGACGGCGGCGAGGCCGGGTCTCCTCGTCCGCCTCCCCTTCCCTGGCCCCTGCCGGCGGCTCCTGCCCGCGGGGGGCGGCATCGGGCGCAGCTTGCCCGGCCGGGGGGAGGGACGCGCACAGCTTCGGGCGGCGGAGCAGAGCCGCCCTCTGCCGGTCGGGGACGGGGTGCACTTGACTTCCTGCCAGGCCCGGCACGCCCGGGGGGCTGGTCCCGCTGCCTGGGGGAGCCCGGAGGGCCACCCCACCTCGCCTGGGCCTTGCCTCTTCCTGTCAGACCCGGGTTGGGCAAGCTACCCTCTCCCGCAGCCCCTCTCAGTGCCAGGGGGAAGACAGTTGCTCTGGGCTGTGGCAGGTCCGCAGGAGACGGGGATGCTGGGGGGAGAGGCGCTGTGTAGCAGCTCGGGGACCCGTGGTGTGATCAGGGAGACCTTGAATAGGGACACCCGACCCTGCTTGGGGACCCTGGGACTGCTGCTTCTGTAGATGTGGCTGGGAAGATGCATGGCACCAGCAGCTGGTGACAAACGCTGGGACTGGGGGTGGGGGGTCAGAGAAACAGATGGGCTCAGCGACTCCTTGTTCTTGGGCAGAATCCCCCCAAGTGAAAGTCAGCCAGGTCTGCTCCTGGCTTGGTAGGACCTGGAACGCTTTTCCCACTTCAGCCAGATGTTCAGAGATCCAGGCATCCAAAGAGGCTTAGAGGAATCTTGACTGATCTTCCTTTGCCCAAGAAAGGAAGAAATGTCATAGTTCTGATTAAAAACAAAGAGCGGTGTTTTTGGCTTTTTAAAAATAGAACCGGAAGGGACCTGTAAGATCATAAAGTCCGGTCCCCATGTTCTTGGGTTGTGTAGTTGGATATTTTCAGTGATCAGCATAGAAAAGTTTTCATCAATTCTTGAAAAACTGGTAATTACTTTGGACTCCTTTAAGCAATGTTATTTTCTCTCGCTCGCTCGTGCTCTTTTTTTTTTCCCCCATATCGTTAGAGTTTATTGTACCTTGGTGGAATTGCTGGGATGACGTACCAGAATGGCTCCTTTGGAGCTTGTACAGTTTGTTAGCTTGCAAAGTTTTTGAGGCTGATGTGATTAAAAAATGAGATCAGGATTTGTTTTGTGCACGTGCAGAAAATCCACATTTAAAATCCGTAGGAATTTTAGTTGCATTTTTAGAGGGTATATTTATGCCTCGTCATTTCAGTTTAAAATCATTAAAATGATTTGCTCTTTTTATTGTTAGGGCTTCTTAAATGTCTTATTTTTCAGGTCTAGGAACTGAAGTCTCCTAAAGAGAAAAATGGCAAATTATGGCCAACAGTATTGTTATTCAGTGGGTAATTCCTAAGTGGCTCCTCTGTGGGTGCAGGTGAGGTGCACTGATAACATGAATCTTGTACTTCCATTGCATGCATGTGGTGTAACAATTCAAATATAAGGGCAGCGGTGCTATCAAATGAACAGTTTCCACAAGCCTTGAATTATTGCAGCTAAATAAGGAAATGTTGCTTGTGACTTAAAGCCTGTAGTCCAAGCATCTGCCAAGAATGAGGGACTGGCAACCAACCTGTGAAAATAAAAGTTCATAGTGTTAATGCTGGAAAACCTGTAAGTTTAGTGCCACAGGCATAACAAATTGAGTGGTATCTGAAGGCTGTATGTTAACTGATGGTCATAAGAGATTGCAATCTCTCCTATTCTAGTGAGTGCTGTGGCAGGTTGCATATAAGGAGTCTGATTGGAAAACTGCTCCCATCTGAGGTATGTTTTGTAAGCAAGGCAGGACAAGTTTGAAATATTTGAATCCAAGGACGAAGCATTCTGTTATGGTTACCTGTATCTTATATGAAGGATGACATATTCCAAGAGTTGTCATTTTAGTGATAGACTTTCAGTCATAAGGTTGGAATATTGTTTTATTTTTAATGAAGATGTAGATTGATAGTGTGTTTACTCAGAAAAACAAAGTAGCTTAGATCTTAACATACCAGTCAGGTTAGTTATTTTTATATAGTGCAATACATGTGCTCATAGGATCATGGCAAGTACATAATATATAATCAATACAAGTAGAAGTTTGTGGGACTTCCTGTTCAATGTTAGTGTTTGTATGCCTGAGGAAACCAGAGGGGAGGGGTTAGGAATGATTTGTAGGAGGAGTAAGAAGCCCTTAAATTATGGACCCAAACCCCCTTGTAGCTCTACAGAAAGTGAAGGTTCACACATCTGCAGTGCCACAAAAAATGTGGGTCCATCACAGAAAAGTTTTGTTTTCAAAGAGTCACATGTTATGTGTGTCCAGTTACATGTAGTGGGTGAGAGGAGGGTCACAGGGGATCCACTTGCAGCAGCATGCATGTCCATGTGGCACTTTATTTTTGTAGCACTACGAAGTGCTGAGACAGTATAGCACAGCAAATTAACATGTGTCCACAGCTTTAGTGAGCAGTAGAGGAAACCTGGTATTTGGAGGAGTTGGAGACAGAGAAGGAGCTGTTATGCAAAACCTAGAGTAGCTTTAATATGTGCTTTTGGTAGATAAAAGTATGTAAACCATAATGGCTTATCTAGTAATATGCAGTTACAGATTTAGAAAGTGAATAATTTTCAGTACAGTATCTAGTCTTTTAAGAATGCATCTTGATGAAACTGTCACTTATGCTAGAGATCTGTGCCTGGAGACGCACACATCTTGGGAAAGGTAGAGGGCAGGGTTGTTTAAGTATTTGTTTTATGTTGGAAATAGGTAATTTCTAGAAATCTTTCTGTACATTATGTATGTCAGTTAAATTAGTTGTCTTTGGAAGGGCTGATGAAGTTGAATGTAACCATGTTAGTTCATGCATTTTGAAACTAAAAATCAGAAGGCAAATTTATACTCTTAATCTTTAACATACAAGCAGTGAAAGGTGTTGCATTTAATTTGGAAGATGAAAGAGATCAAGGGAATTGTTACAGGAATCCAAACAGATTCACATTGGTGGGAGACCTATGTACAGGTACTCCTCACTTAACGTCGTCCCGGTTAATGTTGTTTCGTTATTATGTCCCTGATCTATTAGAGGACATACTCGTTTAAAGTTGCGCAGTGTTTGGTTGTAATGTTGTTTGGCTGCTGGCTGGTAGTGACGTAATTGGATTCGCTTAATATTGTTTTGCTTGAAGTCACATTTTTCAAGAACATAAGTATGACGTTAAGCGAGGAGTAGCTCTAATTGGATAAAATCATGTTTGATACTAACCCAGGTTAGTGGCCCTAGGTTCAGTTTTGGGATGCTTGGTGCTATAGGAACATATCGGTTTTGGAGAAGGTTTAAAAAGAAACAATAAGCTAACCAAGAGGGGATGGAGTGTCTTCATTGTCACTGGCAGGAGGATTTGAAGTGCGGTTCTGTTCTAAAAATTATTGTATCAATCTAATTCTACAAGTAACAAGATATTACCTGTTGTTCCCAAACTCCCAGGCTGATTAATTTAGTGGGAGATTTCAATCTTAAATTGTTTCTTTCTTCACATCACTGCCTGCAATGAATGGTCTGTTTCCTAATTAATTATTTAGTTGCATCTGTGCAGCGTCACATCTTTCTATGGGTACGTGTGTTTTCTTTTTAACTTTTTCCTTATTTATGCCTTGAGTATGTTTAAAAAAGTAGTGTGATAACTTTTTCATGAATTTTTATCAACTGAGCAACAACAGAAGCGCATGGGCACTAAAATAGAAGGAAAGGGGGAAAAAGTTTGACTAAACATAGAAGGTTATCAACATTTTAAATGTTTTGTTTCAAGGGATAAAATAATATTTATTTTATAGTGATTCAAAGGAAAGAGGTAATTCAGCAAGTATTGGGTGTTTGAAAGAAGAGGATAGTGGCATGTATTGAAGTACTTTTAGAAATAGAAATACTTAGCTCCCCAAAATCTTGAGTTTTAATAAAACAAGGTAAACAGCAGTCTAACCAAATTAGCAGTCAGCATACTTTGCAGTGGCAACTCCAAATGTACTTCTGTAGAGTTGTTTTCAGGTTAAGCACAGGTGCACGTTAGAATTCAATTGCAACTATATATCTTACGGATTAGTAACGGCTTTTTGGAAGTAGGAGAGAAACTGATGCTCATGTACTACAAAGCATGTATCTCAGTCTTTTTTCCAGTGACTGCTGTGGGCATTACTGAGCTAAACTTACCTGAATAATGTTTCTAAATATCGTAGCAAGAAATTTTATAGTTGTTACTACTCTTCTGAAATAGCTTTTTATCCGCCTTAGTTCAGATTTCCTGATAAAATTATTTATTCTGGTCACTAGCTACTAGTCTAAAACACTGCTTTTAAACCAAGAGCAGGATA